TTGTCCCAGGCAACTAGGGACAGGACGAGAAGGAATAGCCAGGGGAGGTTCAGTTTGGGAAGAAATCCTTCACAGAAAGGCTGATTAGATATTGGAATGGGCTGCCCAGGGAAGTGGTGGAACCGCCGTCCCTGGAGGTGTTTAAGGCATGATTGAACGCAGCACTGAGTGCCACGGTCTAGTTGACGTGGTGGAATTTGGTCACAGGTTGGACTTGATGATTTCACAGGTCTTTTCCAACCTAACTGATTCTGTGATTAAAAAAAACAACAAACAAACAAACAAACAAACAACCCAAACCGAAACTCACGATTGCCTCAAATCGTTCCTTGTTCTTACATTTATCCTTGTTGTTTAAAAGAAAGAAAGAAAGAAAGAAGGAAAAAGCAGCACGTGTGCCCAGAGGGGTGTTTGCTCAGACCAACACTGCGCTGCCGGACCCCGGCTGCTGGGGCGGGACTCGGCTCAGGCGCCTCGCGGCCACCCCACAGCCCCTGCGCCCCGAGGCCCCTCGCGGCGCCCGCCCGCGCAGGCCACCAATCAGGCGCGCCGCACGTGCGCTCCGCCCAATGGCGGCCGAGGTGGGCGGGACTTCCCCCGCCGGTTGCCATGACAAGCGCGGCCCTTCCCTGGCAACGGCGCTGCGGCGGCGGCCGCGCAGGTGAGGCCGCGCTCGGAGCCCCCGCTCCCTTCCTGGCCCTGCTCAGCGCCGCCGACCGAGCTCGTCCGCCGCCGCGCCGAGGGCGGCCAGTCGGCGGGCAGGGTGGGGTGGGGCTACTTCGGGTGCGCGGCAGGCTCGGACCGCGTTCTGCCGCCCCGCACCTCTCGGGCTGTGGCCCCGGGCACGTCTCGGGCTGCGGATGGGTATGGAAGTGGCTCCCGGGGTTTGGGACTCCTCCGTGTGAGAGCTGTGCTGCTTGGCTTGGTGCTTCAGGCAGCGGCTCTCCGTGCGTGGCATAAATGCTTGGTCTGTCGCCTGACACCGTGTTTGTTTTGCTTTGCCTTTAATATGGGCTCGCCCCCCGCTGCCGCTGGGTAGGAGAGGAAGATGCTTTGTTCTGGGTGAGGGAACCAGAGGGAAGATCACGGTGAAATGCTCTGTGTCTGTCAGTCAGTGCTGTGCCTCTGTGCTGCCGGAGTCAGGTTGGTAATGAGGCCCAGAGGCACGGTCCAGAGCTTTCCCATATGGCCCTCCCCAGCTGACAAATGCTCAGAGATCTGAGGATCTCTGTGCGCAAACGAGACCAAGATGTTCCTGTTAAACGTTTTGTACAGACACGTACACAGATCCTGTGTCTAAAATACTCCTGCCCTTTGCTTGTCGAGTGCTGTTTGAAACTCTGGCAGATAATAGTGCCCTGGGAAAATCCTTTTGGAACTAATCAAGGGCTGTGGTGGCTGATTGTTCTCCCGTCTTCTGTCAAAAGCTGTAGCCTGGCACAGCTCTCCCCTCAACCTCCCTTGGTGCTTCTGGGAAGTGCTGTGCTCTTAAAGCCTCGCTTATGGAAAAGGATACATTTTTAAAAATTTGTTTCCATTAATGGTCTGTGAGATAACACTCTCAGTGCGTGGGGTGTGAAGGTGGCGTTGAGAAAATGGCGAGTGAGATAGCGTGATGTTCTCGTAATAGTTGTATTTGCCTCTCTCTTTAAAGCTTTCTATCTCTTCCCCGTGTTTGTTGCTGTTGAAGCAGTGTCCTCTGGGCCAAGAAGCATCTCCTCCTGCTGAAGCTGCTCGTGTTCACAGAGCTGAGTTCCTCTCAGCTGGCTGTGACACAACACTTTGCTGAGCTACAGGCAGCCCCTCTACCCCTTCCTGGGGTCCCTGTGGAAGGACCATGGAAGAGACCGAGGAGGAGAAAAAGGATGAGGCTGATTATAAAAGGCTTCACAGTTTTCCACTGATTAGGGTAAGAAGGGGGATGGATTGCGCATTTACCAGCGTCACAGATATGAAACTCTGCCTTCATTCTTACCAGCCTTCTCCCACTGAGTAGCTGCTGTGAGAACATGTGTACTGATGGTCCTGTGGAGAGATCCTGGTTGTCACTGCTGCTTTCTCCCTATCCTTGACCTCTGTCAGAGAAATCGGTATTGACACCGGTGTTCCCCATGTCAGCCAGAGGAAGTCTGGAGCAAAGTGATCCATCTAATAGATTGAGTGCACTGCCTTTAGAGCCCTCTCCTCTGTTCTGGGTGCAGCTTTCTTTTAGTCCTAAGAAAGCTGGAGCAAAAGGCCTTGCTCACCAGCCAGATAGCAGCAGCAGAAGAAAAGACTCTGTAATTTAGACTTCTTTGTTATGCTCATAGTAGTAATTAAGGACTGTGGTCCTAGCAGTATTAACATGCTTTCCATTTTCTGCTTATAGCAGAAAAACTGACAAATGCCTTGATCTCCTCCTTTAAGCTGTGCTTACTTCGTGCTGGTCTTCATGTAGGTAGACAAGAATTCCGTGTTGGCTGCAACAAGGAATGAGTGGATCAATTCTAATGCAATAAGCCATTTTCATATTTACTGTGTCTAAGCCCCAACTACAGCCAGTGCAAAAGTAAGACCTACTTTCTGTTGTTTTGTATCCAGCTCTTGTTTTGCTGCTTAGTTCCTCTTGTTTGTTTGCCCTTTCCAGCACTCGGACATGCCGGAGGAGATGCGTGTGGAGACCATGGAGCTGTGTGTCACGGCGTGTGAGAAATTTGCCACCAACAATGAGGTACTAGCCAGGTCCCAAAATGGCCAGCCTGCTGTTGTTGCATCTCAGGGGACCTGCAGGAGCAGGGCTAAGGGTGCAGGGCAGGGTGGAGACAGGTCCTGACATCCTATTACTCTCTTTCTGCACTGAGCAAGGCTAGAAGGAGGCAAAGAGCTTGCCTAGATCTCAGATTCAGTTCCCTTTGTCTGCAAGATCCATAAGAGCACTTTGTTTTCCTGCAGGAAGCAGAGATTAGTAGTGACCTTACCTCCTTCCTGATCCTACCTTCCTATGGCATGCTTCCACTCTGTTCATAAAATGCCCTGTGTCCTGAGGGCTTGGCTCAGAACTGTGTGGAGACTCCTGTTTTGGGGATGAGTACAGGAAAGTCTGCTAAGTATTCTCTCTTGGCTTTAGGACCAACGATGAAGGGAAAAAACACCTTGCTCCATAGGCAGAGCACTGTATGCCACTACAAAATCTTTCTCTCTCCTTTTTTGGATCAAGCAGGGTGTGATCTGGGAAAAGCAAGCCTTTTAAAAGTCAGCCTAGTTTCAGTGTTTTGGTAATTAGCTGGAGAAAAAAAATGGACTCCTGTAAAAATAGCCGCAGCTTAGTGACCTGAATCTCCTCTCGTGCTCGCCTCACCCAGCATAACTCCAGCAGCATCTAAAGCAGAGTTCTTGCTTCAGGCTGAGTGAACGACAGAAGGGATTGCTAGATGCAGTTCTTTAATTTCTCCTGGCTGCTGTGTTGGAGGCTGCTGAGACCTGTGTTATATATACATATATATGTATATATATATACCTGTGGTTATACATATATATGTATATACCTGTGGTATACCCTTGGGTGTACCTCTGGGCAGCTCCCCGTTCCTGCAGTGCAGCTGCTATACCTGTTGCCCATGGCTTGAGTAGTCTGTCAAGGGACAAGACTAGGGGCATGTTTGCCCTCACTGGTTGCTTTATCTCACCCTATGCTCTCTGCCTTAATGTTCTCCAGAGTGCTGCCAAGATGATCAAAGAGACGATGGACAAGAAGTTTGGGTCCTCCTGGCACGTGGTGATTGGGGAAGGTTTTGGCTTTGAGATCACTCACGAGGTGAAGAATCTGCTGTACATGTTCTTTGGTGGCAGCCTGGCCGTGTGCGTCTGGAAGTGCTCCTGACCCCTGTCTGTGTCCCAGATTTGCTGAATACAAGAGATTTGTCCTTCTCTTGACAGGTTTTGTACAATCTGGAGGTGGGGCTTTATTTTTAATAGTTAAATGTCAAGATATCTCTTTTTCATACTGACGTAACAGTTCCGTGGGATACATATAGTTGGTGCGTGTGTGTGTGTATAAACTTGCTAAGCTGTCCTGTCCTAGCTCGTGGGATTTCTCATCTGTCTGTGGCTCTTTCCTTGGTGTTTGAGCCAAAGCAGAAGGGAAGTGGGGGATAGTTAATCTCATGACATGCTGCAGAGCTGCACAGCAGCACTAGCAAGGGTAAGCAAAAGAGAAAAGGTGCTATCCAGCCCTACGGTTTTTATAACTCCCACTTGTTCCACATTGTGTCCTCTCTCTGCTGCTTTCCCCACTACCATGCAGTATAGCTCTGACCAGCACCTGTCTTTCCTCTCTCTGAATGCTGCTCATACATTCTTTCTCACTTCTAATATGTCCATGCAGACCTGGCAGCACTAAAGGTCTCCCTTCGGGCTGCCCGTGGAGGTGTGAGCCACAGGGAAGCAGTCCCGGCTTGCCCTCCCCCGCTGCTTTTGGGAGGGTGTAACAGCTGAGCTGCCTGGGTGTAGGAGGTTGCTATGCAAACTGCCCCCTCCTTTCTCACCCACAGCACACCGAGACAGCATGAAAACACAGGCGGCTGACGACGCCTGGGGAGTGGGTGAGAGCTCTTTTTAAGGCTCAAATGCCTCCCTGTCAGTTCCTGGGGGTGTTGCAAGTGCTGTGTACTTTCAGCATCTTGTTTGGGGCTGGCAGGGGAAGGAGGCTCCATGTGAAATATAACTTGGTCATCAGAAACCTAACGTCTTTTTGGACTTGCGTTCTTTTAGCCTGTTTCGTTTTTTAAAGCTGTCGGTGTTGGAGGATGGAATGAACGTAACTGTATGTTACGTCTGTGGCTTATTTATATAAATCTGGGGAACTGTGTTTTTACAATAAAATTTTAGCAAAATGTCTGTGTGTTTGTTTGTGTAGGAAAAGTAGTTCAAGAAACATGGAAATAAGTACGCAATGGTGTAGCACAGGCAGAGGACAGTGACAGATCTCCATCCTGCAAGTTTCCTGTGTGCCTCTCATCCTCCCTGTTCAGTTCCTTTTACCAGTGCAAACCACTATGCTGAGGAAGGTTGCCAGGCCCACAGCGCTGCTGGCCAAATCGCTCAGTCTACGCAGCTGTCTAAGCAGTAGCAGCAAGGGAGCATACCTGTGTCTGCTGATCAGCTAGTGTGCCTTGGCTCTAATCTTCAGAGTCTCATATTTGTGGCTTCCTTATTTTGAGATTTCCTCTCAGAATGTTGCCAGCTGGCACCTCTAGTGCATAGTTCAAGACGGAAGGATCTCTCTGCCTTAGTGCCTGCAGTGGATCAAGCTGGTGGAGGGTCTTTTACAATTCCTTTTGTTCCTTTTCTGAACCTCAGTGTTACACTAGAGATGTCCTTCTTCCATTTCGTGTCAGGAGCTCTTCTATAAGCCACAAATTGGAGTAATATGAAAACAGTTGGAAATTATTTCAAATTTGGACCATGTCCAAAGGACTAATGTCCTCTCATGTAATTCCTGGCTGATCAGGTGGCAGGGAGTTGTGAGGTGGGAGGGACACAAAGCTATTGTTATAAGGTAGTTAGTACTGTGATACCTGGCCTGTGATCGGGATTGCTGTGCTGTGTAGAAGAGCCCAAATCGTTTGAGCTGTCTCACGGTGTGCTTGCTCTGCCTCCCTCCAGCTGGCTACCATTACATGAAGACAGTGCTATTGACTGGCACTTTCTGCAGCTGGAAGGTGGAAAAGATTATACTCTCTTCCTCAACTCTCTATCTCCTCTAGATTCAGAGGAAAAGGTAAAGCCAGTGTCTTTGGAATGCCCAACGTTGGATCATGATGACACCATTAGCCGTACCACAATCGCTTTAATCGTGCCTCTTTCACACTAATGAATAATTAACTGCTGTGTGCATATGCACAGACATGCTGGTCATGGGCATCTCTGCAGGGTCATGGTGACCTGCGGATGACCACAGGGAGCTGTTTACTTCAGCACACAACCTCTTGGGCTCGCTGCCTGTTTGTTATCTCCTTGGCCACCAGCTGACCAAAACTAATGTCTCCATGACCTGCTTCGGCAACAGGGGAGCAGTGACTGCTCCCCAGCCTTCTCAAAGCTTGAGTGTGCAAACAGATTGAGGTGAGCAAGGTGTGAATGTGCAGCGAGGCAGCTCCTACACTGCCACTCCCACAAGGTAAGTGCAAGGAGAGCGGCAGGCTATTTTTGTTTCCAAGGGTAACAGCTTTCCCACAGAAAGTTACCATTGTTAGCCAGCCCTTGTTAGCTGGTTTCCAGGCCTGTCATTAGCTCTGTACATGAAAGCACAAGCCTTAGCCTTCCAAAATTCAGTTGTGTCTGTCAGAGCCCCTGCTCTGAGGTAAGTGTTCAATAAGATTGATTGTCATGCCTATTGCAAGTTGAGCCATGCTATGCTGGCCCCTGTGTGCCTGGCTTTTGCCCTCCTTTTGCTGTAGATGCACATTTTTGGGCACACCTGTAATTTTCAGGGGAGTAAAGTTTACGGATTAGAAATGGTCCCTTGTCCTGTGTTTTCCACAAGAGACCCCTCTGTGGCTGATGCATTTTGCTGGATCAGGACCAGAAGAGGCCACAAAGGTGAGTGGAGGGCTGGAGCACCTCTGTTATGAAGACAGGCTGAAAGGGCTGGAGTTGTTCAGCCTGAAGAAGAGAGGGCTCCAGAGAGATCACCTGCCAGTACCTGAAGGGTGCCTAGAGGAAAGCTGGAGAGGGACTTTTTGGCAGGGTGTAATTGTGATAAGAGGTAGAGGTTTTAAACTAAAAGAGGTTTGTTCAAGATTGGATATGGGGAAGAAGTCTTTTACAATGAGGGTGGTGAAACACTAGAACAAGTTGCTCAGAGATGTGGTGGATGCCCCATCCCTGGAAACATTCAAGGTCAGGTTGGACAGGGCTCTGAGCAACCTGATCTAGTTGAAGGTGTCCCTGCTCATTGCAGAGGGTTTGGACTAGAAGGCCTTTAAAGGCCCCTTCCAACTCAGACTATGATTTATGGTGGAGCCTCTGGGGCCTCTCTGCTTTTGACTATAAACCTGCAGTGTGTTGCTGGAGGATTTTACATCATGAATTTTCAGCAGAAAGCTAGGAAAGTTGGCAACAGTTGGCTTGCTATTGTGTTTCCCTCTCATTTCTTGCCCCCTGCATATTGCTACCATTACCCATCAAAGCATCAGGCTGAGTCAGATGTAGAAAATGAGATGAAAAACACAGGGTGATGCATGGGTGCCAGCCAAATGACTCTTTCTATCTCCCTGTCCCGTAAAGCTGCAATAGCAGCTCAGGGGGCTGTGCTTCATGACTTCATCCCTCCCTGCTGAGGGGAAATGGGCAACATCATTATCAGTCCTGACTTGGAGCCTGCAGTGAAAATGTCCTCGGATGTAGGACTCCTCCTCCGCCCCAAGGGTGTCTTGAACCTGCTGGGAAGATGGAGGAAGAGCTGGAGGGGGGAGATGAGAAGAAAGAAGTGCAAATTCTACCGCTTCTCTGTGATGATGTCATGGCAACAAGGTACATGGATGTGCTGTCAGGCGATTGGGGCAGGCTTTGAAGGTCTCCAGCTCTTCCCCGTTGCTGCAGGCTCGTGTCTGACTTGCTGAAAAATCTTTTGGTTAATATTTAATGCTTGAATTGAAGTGCTAAGGGTGGCAAGTGCCCCACCTAAGCCCCCTGCCTCTGCTTTCCAATGGGATGTTAAACTAGGAGGGGGGCGGGAAGGGGGTAGGACTGTAAGCTTCCCTGTCCTAGGGATGGCACTCACAGTCAGTAGGGTGGCTTCAGCCCATAGGGTCCCTGTGCCTGTCTGACTCTAGGACATAGGAAAGAGGTTTCTATCCCCTCCAGCCCTCTTTGGAGCTGGTTTGGGATACTGGAAGGAGTGGGGCTCCCTCTGTCCTCAGTCTCCCAGGGCTGGCTCTGGAATAAGGAAATCTCTGGCCCTGCTCCAGGAGCTGAGCCCAGCTCCTTTGATGCAATCAGTTAGTACATAGATTTTGGTGGGGGTTTTGTGGTTTGTGGGGTTTTTTTGTTTAGTTTGGTTTTTTGGTGTTGGTTTTTTGTTTGGTTTTTTTGTGTTTTTTTGTTTGTTTGGTTGGTTGGTTTTTTTGGTTGGTTGGTTGGTTGGTTTTGTTTTGTTTTGTTTGTGGTGGGGGTTTTTTGGGTTTGTTTGGTTTTTTGATGTTTGGGGTTTTTTTGTTTTTGTTTTTTTCCTAAGCAATTGACCTAATGATCCCATGTTCCAGCTACCAGCTACCACCCCTTCTAGGTGCCTTCTTTCCAAATCATCCATCCGGACTGGATCCAGCAAACTTCCCAGAGCAAGACGCCGTGTTCCCTTCCCCAAGGAAGCCATCTGCTTCCCTCCCCCCAGCTCCTTCTGTGGGGCTTCGGGCTCGCCAGCCGGGCTGGAAAGCTCTCCTCCTCCTCGCTTGCCCCGGCTCTCATCAGCCATCTTGTCGGCACAAGGCACGGGGAAGGGAATACGGAGCCGGCTGGATCTGGGGCGGCTGATGGTGTCAGCCGGAGGCGGTTTCCAGGCAACTGTCGCGCCGTGGGACACGCGAGCCAAGAACACCGGGAACACCGCGTTCTCGGCGCACCGCCTGGGAGGGGACCAAGCCTGACACGGCACAGGATGGTGTGGAGAGGGCAGCGTGAGCAAGAGGGTAGTGCAGGGATGGCAGCAGAGGAAGGGGTCTCCAGAATATCCCCCCCTTCCCAGTGATTATCATACCCTCCCTGGCTTGGAGTGAGGATTTCCAAGCTGGCTCCTGGTGTAACATACAGCAAGGAAGGTCCACATGATGTATGGGATTTCACGTGCCTTCTGCATCCTTTGGGAAATCAAAGAAAGAAGAAATATCATGCCATATGCTGTACCCAAGTTCCCAGACTTGTTGCAGGTGGCCTTGTCCTTCTCTGTCCTTTAACAAATCCAGAGTTCCCTCCCTACAAGTTATGAGCCATTTGTGAGCATGCAGCCCAGCTCTGCATCCCTGGGTGTCACTGAGAAAGGGAATTTCTTGTAAAGTCGGGCTGCCCTGCTCTTCCACAAGCTGCCAGTGCTCCCCACGCTTGGTGGGTCCCACTGCCCCTCTGCGCTGATGTCCAAGGCAGCATCCCCACTCCTGCCTGCCTGCCTGCCTCCCCCACCTGCTTCAGGGTTTCTGGGAGCATCCCTACCCATGAACCCACCCTGCCTGGTAACCCTTCCTTACACTGCCAGCCCAGCATTTCCCTTCCCAGCAATGCTGATACTCACATTCCCTTTGTTTTATGCCATTTGAGTGATTTTTGGTAGGTGCATTTAGTACAACGGATTTTGAATGGATGGAGGAGGCTGATAAAATTGCCTTGGCTGAGCAGCAGGAGTAAGATTCTCATGGATTCTGAGTGTGAGGCTACGATGAACATGGGGAATGGAGCTGCATAGTGCTTGGCAGGGTGGGTGCTGCAGAGGGGCAGAACTACTTTATTGCCGTGTATGCCAACAAATGTTCTGCAGCCCCATGTGGGTGACAGCACAGAAAGACAGGACAGTGAGGGGGTCAACTGCAGCCAGTGCTGCCCCTGGGCCAGCTTTGCAGCTATTGATTTGGAACTTGCCCCGTTCACCCTAACCTTGGCAGTGCCAGCTCGACCCTTATCAGCACTGATAAACCCCGCCACAACCTCCTGTCCCATCCTGGTGGTGTCACTCTGTGAGGTGCTGCACTGGCAGATCTGTCCTGCAACTTCACTCTTGCACCAGTTGCTCTCTTGCTGCGATGCTCTAAATCCAGGACACCTCTCTTTTATTTTTACACAGAGGCTGCATCCACACCAACTCTTTTAACCCTGGGTGGTTGCCCACCCCTTGCTGAGTGTTTTGGGCGAGGAAGGATGTGGCGCCGGCTGCAAACACTTTTCCAAAGGAAATTTAAAATCACCCTTCTCTTTCTTCTGCTCTTGGCCCTCCTCGTGCACCTGGTGATGGATTTTGCTCTCCCTGCAGCCCACAGGCCCTGCAGCTGCGATACAAAAGCACCAAAAGCCACAGGTGTCCCGCCAGGCAGCCCCGTGCTGTCCGGTCTCAAAAAGCTGAGCCTGCGAATTCTTCAGGATTTCAGTGGCAGCAACAGCTCCTTGGAAAAAACCTCCCAGCTACAGGGAGCGGGGCTGCACACAAGGGCTGGAGAGCTGTGGGTCCAGCACCAGCAAGAAGGCGGCAATGCGGGACGGACCAAGGGATCAAAGCTGGCAGCACTTTTTGAGCATCCTCTTTACAACATCCCAATCCCAGAGGTGACAGAAAAAGACAAGCTGTTTGTCGTCAACCCCATGGAGAAGTTCAGCCTGCGCAGCAGCGGGAGTGACGAATGGTGAGGAGCAAGCTCAACTCTAGCTTGCTTTTGGGGGATAAGTGGGTTTGAGGGACAAGCAGCGGGTACCAAACACGTAGTTTCCCTACGTAGAGCAGCATCCTACCCTGGAGGGACCCCCACTGCTGAGCACGCTCTTCTCACACCTCAAATCCTCTCTTAGCCCTGAATTTTTGGGCTGCTACTCATAAGCCTGTAGCACATGGCAAAGCCAAAGGAGATTCTTGAATTGTTCACTGTATTATGTGGGGTATCTATTATCGCCTCCTTCCCTTCCCCACTGCAGACTAGCCTTTGGTCTCTCTCTCTCTGTATATGGAGAAGTCTCCAGTCCAGATTTCTAACCAGTTTTATCCCCTCTCGCTGATATGTTGAAGATGCAAAGCCTGCAATGTGGGTTATCTCTAACAGTGAGATATCCGTCCCATCCTGCATTTCGCAGGATATCTTCTGACCTCTTTAGGCTCGGCTGTATGCTGAGCTCACTGCTGCCGGCTGCCTATTTTTATCACTGGACTACTAACCTCTAATTAGAAGTGAAGATATTAAAAGCTTTAACATCATAACACGTAACAGCTTCCTTATGGAAAGCACACCTTCCAAAAGTGATGCCTGCTAAATTTGGGAGAGAAGAAAAGCTGGTTTAAGAGCTGGTTTCCACAAATGGTATTTGCCTTGTTTCTGAGGACCACCTTGCCTATGGAATAACCTTGGGTCTGGTTTGATGAAATTGAGGCACAGTCTGTGTTTTCCTAGAGAGACATGGATTTGGGTTATAGATGTCCTGGGCTAACTGTCCCACTGCAGTGCCAGTGTGTGCTAGCACAGAGGTGGGGCAGATACTCCCACAAGCTCCTTTGAATGCCAGCTAACTGCCAATTTGCAAGATGCACAAACAGGGATAGTGCTAACCCAAACTTAACCCCCTGGGGAAACCAAGGGTGTGTGATAAACGCGTCGAAGGGGAGTGGGTTGTTGGGAGTGGGAGTTCAGGTCCATGCTGGGGTTGGCTGGGAAGCCCCTGCTCCAGTTTTGCCACCATGAAACGTGGAACCCACCCAGGGCTTGTGCTGGGCCTTCCCCATGGCTCACCTTCCACACACTGGCTCCTGGGAAGTGCCTGGGGACTGGGGACCGATCCCATTCCACTAAAAGCTGTTGTTGTTGTTGTTGGGGTGGTGGTGGCTGTCGGGCTTCAGGGTCAGCAGCAGTAAAGCCGAGACGCTGCTCCCGACAGGGAAGACTGCCTATGACACCTACCCCACCTGGCTCAAATTCCACGTTGGCATCAACCGCTACGAGCTGTACCCCCGCCAGGACCCCCTGTTGCCCAAACTCCTCCAGGACTTGGCCACACAGAGGATCATCAGCTCAGGTACCACCTCCCTGCCCACACCCCTGTCCACACCCCTGCCCCACTGCTTACTGCCTGTCTCTCTCATCCCTGCGTGCCTCCTTTCAGTCCAGAAGTCTGGCGGTACCCAGCTCAAGCTGATCATGACATTCCCAAATTATGGGCAGGCCCTCTTCAAGCCCATGAAGTGAGTAAAGTCTGGGACAACCCCTTACCTCACCACATGGTCCCATTAGGTAGCGAGGAGTGGCCAGAGGGGACTATGGAGGGAGAAATGGAGAAATGCTTTGTGCACTGCCTCGCTTCAGCACCTCCATCCCAAAATTGAGGCAAGCGGAATGGTCCCCTTTCCCTCGCCTTCCCTGGCTGCTTACGACAGCCTGGATGCAGCTTGTGATGGGGTAGTGACCTCCAGTGGTGGAAAGAAGAAGGTGGTCCGTGAGGACCATCCATGAGCCTCCAGTCCATGAGGCTTCCCAGCCCTTGTGTTGGAAGCAGGGAGTATGTGGGAGCCCAGATTGGGCGTTTGGAGTGACACCACCCATCAGGAAGTGACTGGAGGAGGCTGGGTCTTGCTGTGTCTCCAGTGTCACCAGGGGACACAAGGTGAGGTATGGTTTGGAACCATGCTCAGAGTGACCCCCACCCTCCCAGGCAGACCCGGGACCAGGAGACCCCCATAGATTTCTTCTACTTCTCAGACTTTGAGAGGCACAATGCAGAGATTGCAGCCTTCCACCTGGACAGGTGAGCATAAGCATTACATCCAACCCTCCCTTCCCATGCTGGCAGAGCAGCAGAGAAACTGCTCCTTCATCCCACCTCTCCCTCGTTTTTGTGAGGGATGCCTCATGGTGGGTTTAATAACTCGCTGTGAAAACCAGCCGAGGTCGATAAGAAGTGGTTCCAAGTTCTGTATTTCAGGATCCTGGATTTCCGGCGAATCCCCCCAGTTTCTGGCCGTTTGGTCAATATAACAAAGGAGATTCGTGACATCACCACGGACAAGAAACTGGCCAAGACTTTCTTCATCTCCCCAGGTGAGCTTTCATGTCGTCCATTCTCTCCTGTGGCCACCCACACGGAGCTCAGCTGGACCTGTCTTCTCCTGCCCTGGGGCAAAGGAACCGTTTGGGGACTGCTCCAGCTCCTGTGGGTCCCTTGCCATGGGGCTTTGCTCCTCACAGCCTTCCCTGCCGTTGCATTACCAGTGGTGCATGGCCACAGTGCATGGAGCGTTTTCCCCCGGCTGCCTGCTGGACCACCCTGCCTGGGGGTCACAGACTTTGTTGCCTTTCTGTTCTTCATCAACCTTTGCTTTGTCCCCATGGCCAGCGGGTAACGTCTGCTTCTACGGGGAGTGTTCCTACTACTGCTCCACCGAGCACGCCCTCTGTGGCAAGCCGGACCAGCTGGAGGGCTCCATGGCTGCCCTGCTCCCTGACAAGACCTTGGCCAAGCGCCGCTCCTGGCGCAGCCCCTGGCGCCGCTCCTACCACAAGAGCAAGAAAGCTGAGTGAGCCAGGGCACGGGGGGTATGGGGGGCATGGAGCAGCAGAGCTATGGGGTGGGAGGGGGCTGCTCCATGGCCACTCTCAGTGGCCCCTGTTCCCTCCCCGGCCTCTGCCAGCAGGTGGGAGCTGAACCCCAACTACTGTGCTCGGGTGCGAGAGACGCCGCCCTACGACAGGGGCCATCGCCTCCTTGACCTCATTGACATGACGATCCTCGATTTCCTTATGGGTGAGCCACTCCATTCTGGTGCTGAGGGCTGTGGAGCTCCCTTGGGACAGAGAAGTCCAAATGGCTCTATGTCCCGCAGCGCTGTGCCCTGCGAGGTTTGTTGGCCAAACCATTGTTCAGGCTGCAGCGAGCTGCACTCTTACCCAAAATGAGAGGATAGGGCTGTGCCATTAGGGCAGAAGTCAAAGGACAAGAGATGCTGGGGAGATCCCAGCTGAACACCCCAGGCACAGGAAGCACCTTCCAGCATACTCTCACGTGCAGCCCCTGGAAAGCCAGAGGCAGAGGTGATGCCTAGGGCTCTGGCTGCCTCTCCTGTCCCTCGGCTGCTTCTTCCTCCCTGTGCTGTCCCTTCACCATCATCTGACTTGGAGAGTTTCCCATCTCCTCGTTTCTGGCCACCCAGCCATGCTTTGGCCTTTACTTCTGCTCCATTTGCCACTGTTGTCCCTCTGTGGGGCTGATGGGATGAGAAGGGGCCTGGAGGCCAATAGGGTCTCTGCTCAGTTCCCCTCCATGGCCATGGCTGCCCGATGGGCACCTTAGAGGTGCCTCCAGAACTTTTCCCCAGGCTTTGGGTTTCAGTCTCACACCAGGAGAGTGCTCTGTATCCCTGCTCCCATCTCCCAGCCCACAACCTGATGGCAAATTTGTTGGCCCACCACAGGCAACATGGACCGGCACCACTACGAGACCTTTGAGAAGTTTGGGAATGACACTTTCCTGCTCCACCTGGACAATGGCCGTGGGTAAAGCTGGGGAGGGGAGGGGAGCAATCACTGCAAAGGGATGGGGGGAGACTGCCAATCTTGCCAAAATGCCACCCTGACACCCACTGGTGGGCTTTCCCCCCTTTCCAGCTTTGGCACACACTCGCGTGATGAACTGTCCATCCTGGCCCCCCTCCAGCAATGCTGCAGGTAGTAAAGGGCTCCCGCTGCCTGCCCTGGATCTGCTGTCAGGGAGAGGCTCCTGCTGTTGAGACATCTCCCTCCTCATCTTTGGCAGCATCAAGAAGTCAACCTACTTGCGTCTGCAGCTGCTGGCCACCCAGTCCTACCGCCTGAGTGACCTGCTGCGGGAGGCACTGGCCGCAGATCCACTTTCCCCTGTCCTGGCTGAGCCCCACCTGCAGGCGCTGGACCGTCGCCTGGGGAAGGTGCTGGTGGAGGTGGGACACTGCCTGGCCAGGGCAGCCCGCCCAGATGAGGTGCTGGTGGATGATGTGGGGTCATGGGTGTGAGGGGGGGCTGCGTATCTTGCTGGGTTGGGGCGTTTTTGGGTTCTGCCAAGGATGATGTGGGATCAGCATGCAGCTCTGACTTTGTGTAGCATTGGCCTTTTGGTGGTGCCAGAGCTGGTGGTGTGATGTACTAGGAAAGCAGGTTGTAAGGATAGCTGGGACAGGGAGGGAATTTAAATAAAAAGTGGAGATGACATGAGCTGAGATCTCCCGACCAAAGCTGCTTTCCCAGCCGTGACCTGTCCTCGCATGCCTGGACGTGTTGCTCCAGCCCTCAAAAGCCTTTTAGGAAAGGGCAGGGCTTTTTCCTGCCTTTTCCGAGCAAGAGCTGCCAAACTGGAGCAGTTGGCAAGCTCCTTCTGCCCCACTCCTGTCCCCAGCATGGTGATGCCCTGGTGACCCCCAAAAACAGAGCTGAGACTCCCCACTGCTGGTGTGGGGAAAATGAGGCATGAGCTCCCAGCCACTCACTACTTATCCCTGCCCTGCTCTTCCCGCATCCACCTGAAAACCCCCATGGCTCTGGCATCACCACCTCCTTTGCAGTGCCAGGGGTGCAGCAAGGGGGACAAGCCTCACTCCCCTTGGAACACCTTCTCAAATTCCCTGGGAACCACGGCCAATTTCCTTCCCACCCAAAAAAGTGGCTCCTGATAAAGGGACCGATTGACCCCGGGGCCATGCACCCTGTTTAGTGCCCGGTGGCTCAGCACCCAGCTTATCCCTTGAGCCTCCTGAGGGGTTAATCCGTGTGCAGGGTTACGTCAGCTGGAGCAGGTGCCATCACAAGGGCCACTGCCAGTGTCCCCAGGACGGGGCACAGGGTTGGCATCAGCATGGCCAGAGAAAAATGTGCTACCGGAGAGGGCAGATGTCCTCTGTCCTAGTCAGGCACCCACAAAGGGATGGGAAGCCACAGGAAAGGGTGAAAAAGGGCGGCTGGCACAGTGAGAGATGGAGCTGCCCTGGAAAAGCCAGGCAGAGATTTAGCCCAGAACAAAAAATGGGCTCAAAAGGAAGAAAAAAAAAAAAGAAAAGAGAGACAAAGAGGATCTGTCTGCGTTACACAACAGGGCCAGGGCACTGAATCAGGGTTTGTTGCAGTGTGCCCCCCCAATGCTGGCGGCACGTCCTCCTGCCACTGCCCTGGCTTGTGCCCCAAACCCCAGCAAAGGGAGGAAAAGGTTTTGGGGCTGTCTTGCAACAGATTCCTCCCCTTCTGCCAGCTTCATATTATTTAACATCTTCTATAAATATCTTTTTGGTCCATATGCAAAGCCGGGGGGGAAAAGGGCCATTCCTGCACCATGCCCCATGGATGTGGCCTAACAACTGTGTCCAGATACAGGCGACTGGTTCCCCCCACTCACAGAGCCCCCCCCCCCGGCAAATCTTTTTCCAAGGCACCGTGGGATTTAAAACACAGAGTGTGGGAGGGCGGCTGTTTCTTCAGCCTGGTGAGTTTCCACAAGGTCCCAGCTGTGCTGCTGAGGTTCAAGGTCCCGTGGGAGCAGCCTGGTTTGGCTCACACCCTCCTGCCAAGCCGGCCCAGCCACCCGTGGAGGAGAGCGACGGCAGCGGGCTGTCTGAGGCCACGGGTCTGGGGAACAGCAGAACATGCCTGCCCAGTCGAAGCGGTGGGGCACATGGGCGTTGAGCAGGGCTGCTCATGCCGCAGGGACAGGTTTGGTTGTGTCCTCGTGTTGAGTGGTGTATGGGGTGTGGGTATTTCCCACCTTACTGGGACTGGCAAACCAGCCACCCCAGCAAAACCCAGACGGGGGCTAGGGTGCAACCCTCGATCTGGGAGCTCCCATTTTGGGCTGCTATCACCTATGCCCTTGTTTGGCAGTGTGGGCTCACTGCTGCCTATGGTGGACTTGGCGAAGAGGAATCCAAGGGCTGAGGTGCTTGGTGACCAGGTCCTGGTGAGCACCAGAGAGTGGGGATGGGTCCTTGCCATCGGCCCCCCAAAACGGTTAAAATAAAATAAAGGAAAATAAAAATAATATGCCAACAGCGATGGCGATAACCATAATAATAATAATAAATAATGACGATGATGATAAAGAAAGGGACATCGAAGCGTTCCCCCGAGGCCGGGGGGGCGGTGGCTGCCCCCCTTTGCGGCGGCGGGCGGGGCGGGGCGGGGCGGTGGCGGCGGGGGCCCGCGGGGAGGGCGGGGAGGAGTGTGCCGCCTTCCCCGCAAAACAAAAGGGAGCGGCAGCCGCGGCGGCGGCGAGAGCGGCTGGGATCAGCTGGGATCAGCCGGGAGGGACGGCGGGGGCTCCTTCCCCGCTGCGCGTGATTCTCCGGTGGGTTTGCGTGGGGCGGCGCGGCGGGGCCGGGGCAGTGGGGGAAGGTTGCAGGCAGGCCGGCTCGGCCCGGGGCTCGGCCCGGGGCGGATGGCGGGCGGGGGGATGATGAGTCGGGCCGGGGGTGTTCGGAGGGAACCGGTGGGGCAGCGGCTCCACGCGTGGGTGGGACCTCGCATGGGTGGGAGGGGAGAGGAGAGGAAGGGGTTCATCGCCCTATAAGGGAAGGTGGCTCCATCCCGGGGCACCAGCTCGGAAGGGGGTGCGGTGTGTGCGGGACCCCCTGTCACAGGGGTGGGGTCCCCGCCAGTGAGTCCCTCCTGGGTCCCTCCTCCTGATGCTTCCCTCTCTTCTCCGACACCCCCGCCCGCCCCCAGGTGAGCCGTGCCCTCCCCCCCTGCAGGCGCCATGTCCCGCCGCAGCCAGCGCCTTGTCACCTCCCGCTATTACCCCGGGGACGACGATGCCACGACCAGCAGCAGCAGCACCTCTCTGCTGGGTGGGACACAGCTCCCCTTCAAGGAGACCACCGGCAGGTTAGTGGGTGCAGGGGTGAGGGGAGCCCCCCTCCCAAACCTGGCTGGGGCTGGGCACTGCATCCCGCACCAGGGACCGGGTATCCTCCCGGGTGGGGTGCCGGGATGGCTCGCAGGAGGGAGCGTGACGGGGAGCCCGGCGCACTCCGGCATGGCCGCCGGCAGCCTTGGCACTGGCGCTGCCCCTGCTCCAGCCACAGCCCCCTTCTCCCTGTCCGGCCACCTTCGCCCCGACACAGGAGCTGCCGTGGGTGGCTGGGTGCCTCCTCCCAGCTGCAGCTGCCTCCGACTGGATGGCGGGAGGCAGGGAGAGGCAGGGAGGGAGGGAGGTGCGCTGCAAGTGCCGGCCGGAAAACCGCAGCGGTGCGAGCGGAAGCGGTGCCCGGGGACGGGCGGGAAGGCCTTTTGCAAAGCAGAGGTTGCACCCTCCGAGACCTGCTGCCGTCTGGTGCAGAGGGGAAGTGATGCCGGTCGAGGGGTTGGGGTGAATTCCCCATTTCTCCCCCGTGGGTGCACTGTGATCCCCCACGCACCATTACCACACGTGTCTGATGAGCCTGTTCTCTCCTCTGGCAGGACGATCAGGAGGAAATCAAGCAGCACAAAGCGCCTCTCTCCCGCCCCCAGCACCCAGACCTCCTACTACAGCGAGTCCATGATGAGCGAGTCCTACCTGGGGGGCAGTCGGGGCCTTGCTGCCCTGGGCAATTCCATGCTGGATGATGACCTGGACAGCGGCATGTACTGGGGTGAGCCCTCCCACCCTCCTGTGGCACATAACGGGGTGTTAGGGCAGCCCCCCAGGGTGGCTGACTGTGTTGGTCCCTGTGGGAGTGGTGGTGGATGGTTTCTCAGTGGGACTCTGTGTTTTGGGAGCAGGTGGGGAGCTCTCTACCAGGAGGAGAAGAGGCACAGGGGACACAGAGTCCAGTAAGATCAACGGGCTGCTGGAGAGCAAGACGTACGACACCTATGCCTCTTCATCTGGGTACTCCTCCGAAGATGACTACGCTGGTAGGCATCACCAGCCTCTCTGTAGTGGCAGGGATGCAAGGGAGACGTTCCTGAGGGACCAGCCCAGGGCCTGGCTATACCCAGGGTGCTGCCAGTCATGCTGCATGCCACCTCCAGCGCAAAGCCTTTGCCCTGGGCAGTGCCCTGGGATACTGGCTCCGTTGATGACTTGTGTTTTCCTTTCCAGGTCATTTTTACTCAGGCCAAAGTAGCTCTGGGTCAGGTCTGAGGACTGCAGCCTCCCGGGTGGGCTCCTTCCTCTGGCAGGTGTTCACCTCCCCAGGTGAGTGCAGGGCTGGCAGGGGCATTTCCAGCAGCAGCATTCTTGTCTGTCAGTGTCTCTACTCCCTAAGTGCTGTGTGGGCTGTTTCTTGATCAGGTGGAGGGGTTTTATCCCCTTCTGGGACCATCCCTGGGGGATGGAGGGGACATCTCTAGCAGGACTCCTCCTGAGGCTTGTTTTTTCTGCTGGCAGCTCGGTTCATGACATGGCTGTTCTCAGGGCTGGTAGGTGCCTGGCACCGCCTCACGGGCACAGCTCCCCGCCTGGACAGTGTCCCCTTCTCCAGGTGAGTGTGGTGGTGGGACACCAGGAAGGGGGAAGTGTGGGGAAAACCTGCAGGACCCTGGAGCAGGAAGGCACACATGGGGGGGGTCTGTTCCAAAGCCCAGCTGGGCTTTACCTTCCCTCTGGCCCCCATCCAGAGGTAGTGGAAGGTGGCTGCAGTCCTACAGATGCCTCTTACTTCTCCATGCTCCAGGCGCTACCCACGACTGAAGAGGTTCCTGCTTCTGCTGCTGTTCCTCCTGCTCCTCGCTGCTGCTGCCTACGGTGAGCCAGCCTGACTCCACTTGTTGCCCTGAGGTCTGGGACAGTGCAGAGCATGCCACTGCCATACCTGGGGGATGGGATGGCCCCAGCTCAGTGCTCATGGCTCTTGGTAACATGGTCCATGTGCTCTCCCATGCTGGGACCTCCTGGTAATCCCAGAGGATGCTGATGGCTGAGTGTCTGCATGTCTACCCTATCCCCAGCTGTGGCTCATTACCAGCCTGTGGCTTTAATCATCTTATCCTTCTGCATGTCCAGGAGCTTGGTACTTCTACCCATATGGGCTATCGACCCTCAGCCTGCCTGCCTTCCCGTGGTGGGGAGCTGGGAAGTCTTCCTCCTCTGATGTGCCTGGGGCAGGAGACCTGACCATGCTGGACCAGGTAAGCTTCAGCAAAGGCATGGTGGTGACCCAGGTGGGATGGGTGCCTTGCAGGGAGAGCTGGAACGATGTGGTCCATGGCTGAAGGATTGCTTTCAGGAGATGGGGAATGGTGGAGAATGGGCAGATGGGGAAATTGCCCAGATTGTGACAGATTGTAGTGGAAATGGCTTCCTCAGCTTGCGGCCATCTCGCTCTTGGGCTGCCCCAAGAATGGAGCAGGGGCAAGTTCTGCCTTCTCCTGTGAAGCAGCAGATGAATAAGATGTTACTGACTCTGGGGAATAGGTGGTATGGGACCCCTTCCACAGAGGTGCTTTGGAGCAGGCACCTCCTGTGGGGGCTTCATCTCACCGTGTTTTGGTTACTGCAGGGAGGACACCGGCTCCTGGCTCGCTTCCAGTCCCTGGAGAAGCGCTTCGAGGCACTGGAGGCTGAGCTCTCACGGTGGCAGCTGCGTCGGGGGGCGGCAGCGGTGACAGCAGGAGGAGAACCACCCCCAGGGGACATCCTGGTGCTGCTGGAGGGGCTGGTGAACCGCCGGGATGTAGGGCTGAAGGAGCATCTCCACGCCGACATGACCAGCCACCTCCAGGTGAGGGA